TCTTATTAATCAATACCCCCTATTGAAGAGAGTGGTGCACAGCATCAAAAATGCAACAGTATTATTAGAAAATGATACAGTGCACATTAGGATGTATAATTCATGTTGCCTTCGTTTGCTCAGACCATCGTGAAAATCCATAAATCATCTTCTCGTTCATGTATTGCCTAAGTGCAATTTGTCATTTTGCATTAGAGGACTGCTTCAGATCATCAGGGCTTTTAATTCACTGTTTAGAGTTTAACAAAACGCCTGGCCCTGCTTGACAACTGCGACTGCCTAGGAATGAATGGGCTATATAGCATGTAGCTTAAACAAAATGGAGACATGTATTTGTTTTGTAAACATGGAGATAGGACTGCAGTTATCCTGGACAGAGCTGGTACTGTCCTGAGCTGGGCCAGGAATGACTGATCTCAGAGGAGGCACGTTATGCTGTGCAACCTCAGTGTGGATGGGAACATGCTTCCTTCACCCAGCAGCTCCAGAGCTCTCTCTGCTTGCAAGGAGCATTATTTTCACTGTGGATGAACTCTGGGTGGCAAGAGCTCAATCAGGCAACTTACTGTATAATATTGATCTCTGCTTCCCCACTGGAAACACCGGTGGAGGCGTGTCACGTTTCCCTAGCAGACTAGAGCTGGCTCTCCTGATGAGTTGCAGCCCCTTGCCCCTTGGGGGCCATTGTTTGTGTTTTTAATAGCCCCATCTGAGCTTGGGAGGGACTCACCATTTCCCTCTCAATGACTTGAAAAAATCGCCTTTCTCGGAGCTCTTGGAGATAATAAGAGGATTTAAAAAAACAGATCGCTTCCAAGCCCTAGTAGATCACGGCAAGCGGTCATTTATCTAAACACAGGTTTAACAAACTCCCCCTTACCCTGCCCGATAGGAAAAGGTAGGTAGGGTAGAAAATCCATTAGCCTTAAAATAAAAAAGGAAGCACTGATTGGGGGTTGCGGGGGCGGGGAGAGAATCGGATCCCCCCCCAACAAATCAATGAATCGCATCCAAAATAAAGAGCCAGTCTCTGTGATGAGATCAGTTTATTATAGAGAATCGGCACAAATCTTTGAATAAAAGGAAAGAAACCGCATGCCGAGGATTGTTGTTGTGCTGAACGGTAGGAGGGGCAGGGAGGGGACAGGATTGTTACTGCAGGTCGAGTTCCCGCGGCGGGAGCAGCGCTGATGGGTCCCCCCTCCCCAGTAAGAAGCAGCTCGGCTGTAATTACCGCTCCCGCGGAGAGGCAGCGCTGCGCCGGGTCTATGGCACTTCAGAGCAGCCGTCATTATAACAACAAAGCCATTTGTTTATGTAATCCCTGTAAACTAAAAGCTGCCTGTGAAGAAAAATCAACAGAGCGAGGAGAACACAATCCCCCGTAAAGTTGATGATTAAATGCAAAATCAAGTCCTAGATGGGGAGGGGGGGAGCCTTCTGTCGGTCAGTATCTAGATCGACATTAAAAAGTCCATTCAGATTCCCTGGGTGCAGGCTGCATGCGGATTCTGCTCCTTCCAGGGACCACAAGAAATGCACCAACCGCGCGGCAGGTCAGGGATGAAGGCGGAAGCCAGCCATGCACGGAACAGAAACGGGTAGTGAGACAGATGGATAGAAGAGAGAAAGAATCTTACAGGCTCTCTCCCCCCGCAGCGCAGGCAGAGCTGTCACCGTCGGAGACCCCGGGGAGATCCGCCAGGAGAGGAGGACGGACGCCAGCACCCTGCCCAGAAATACCTCCCAAGAAATGCCAGCTCGAATGCAATTCTCGCGTGGAAACGCTAGGAGGCGCCTGCTACCTACGATTGCGAAGCAAATGCACGCAGCCCTTCAGCTACTACATCTGTAGGAAATTTGAGTGGTAGAGTGGATGCAGTGATTATTTACAACCAGATCCGTCCATCTAGCTGTATCTCTCTCTCTCGCCCGCCCCTTTCAGATTTCCAGGTTTCAGTGAGTACTCCGCTTTTGCATCGTTTCCATTAATCTCCATTCCCAGATAGTCAGGAACACAAAATCAGCAGTCCGCATTGTCATTCATGTGGCTTTTTGGACCAACATACACAAATTGTATTGGCATTTAAAAAAGAAAAAAAGAAAAAGAAAAATAGAAAGAAAGCGCTCCAAAATGTCCAAGAGTCCGCTAAAGCCCCTCGAAGTGAAGCCTTCTTCTCATCCCATCGTAAGGAATGGGGGGCAAAGGGATAATATATTGATCCGGTGACTTCATTAATATTCAGATACACCATAATCTCCTTTGCATCGATCCACAGGTCCTTTTATAAACTGTCGCTCCATCCTCAGCCCCAGACGTGAGGCTGAAATCATTTTAGCTGCAGCGGCTTTTTTTTTTTTTTTTGCTTGGCTTTGCCCGGTCGTAAATTTACTGCAGCTGGAAAAAGGATTAGCCATTTTTGCTGGCAACCCAGCGTTTTAACTGCTCAGAGACAGGATTCATTCACATGAAAGGAGCGAGGGATGGAGGAGGACAAGACCAGACTGCAATGAATGGAGAGATGGGTGAAAAATATTTATAAATACACCGGGGAGAGGAGGAGGGGGGGGGGCGGGAGAAGAGGGGGAAAAATGAACAGAACATGTATAGAAATGTAATTTCCTCTATTTCCACAGTAGGAAATGCATCTGAACACATAGTGTTCTGAAATGTATCAAGGGAAGCCATCCTTCCACTGTTTTACTGGTTGTGATTAAAGATGTGGTCACGAATCATTGATCTTTAAAGCAGAACCTCTTCCTGCTTCACGTTGGAGGCTCTCAATAAACAATAATCAACGCAGCGTTTTACAAAAAAGCGAAAGGAATGAATATTGTATCCCACCTGTGCAGGGCTTTGAAGGTTACACAGATGGGACCGTGTCATTGCCCTAACCACAGAGCGTTAGTAGATAAGCACTAATGTGTCCACGGACTGTACTGATGAATAGCGTTACCAAAATTATCCCAATAAGATTGCTAAATACTCCAATGTCTGTACAACATGCGATTTCCAGCCGAGTGTGGGCGAGCACACGCACACCTTGCTGCCATGGCCGTGCAACTTGAGCACTTGATGTGCTAGACCTGAAGGTATCAATGCAGAAGCTGTCTTTGAGTTTTTTTAGCCCTAGTGCTATCCTCCCCGCAGCAGGGAAGAGGAGAATGCTCGCCCCCACCTAGTGCGCTGCTGCTGTCTGAAGCGTAAGGCGATCCAGGGGAGCTCACTGAAGTGCACTAAGTGAGAGAAGTGTCAGCACAGTCTCTGAACAATGGATAAGAAATATTTATTGGATACACTCGCGAGAGTGAAAGTTACTGAACTGCACTTATCAAAGTGCCTGAACTTACCCACGTTAGGAAAGCTGAAACAGTAGCATATACTGAAGGGGAGAAAAAAGATATGTGGTATCCAGAGTACTTTGAGTTAGACATCTCCCTCTTTCTCCAATCTATCTCAGCAGATCTGGGTGGGTCTTACCCAGTAACCCCGGTCCTCCGCCCCCCAGCTTACATCTCCATGCATGTCACACTGAACTTTGGCTGCCATTTAGTCCGGCCCAAGGATCACACACTGAAATTCTGCCTCAATTTGCATCCTCCTTTACTTTCAGCAGCTGGAAACAAGGGAGGGAGAAGGCCAAACGTGTGATGGTTGATGATGCAGGGGTGTTGGTTGCAGCCGTGTTGGTCTAAGGACATAGGCAGACTAGGTTCTTTGGGTAAATCTGATATCTTTTATTAGCCCAACTCAAATAGCCAGCCAGACGAAGGGTATTTATACCCGAAAGCTTGCTTAAGATTTTTTTTTTTACTATTTGAGTTGATGATGGCGATAATTTCCATTGGGTGGAATTGGGGGGGGGGTGCAGATGCGGGCTGGAAAGTTGCTTCTCAAGTTGTCATCTCGCCTAATGAGTTAAGGCAGCCCAGGGGAAGGGGGAAAACACACACACAGGGCAGATTTTCCCTTGTTTATTTTTTTGGAAAGGCTTGTGTCACTGCTGCAACAGAGGCAGCCCGGGCCAAATAGGAAAGGAAAGTTCGTGGCTGATGGAAATTCCTCCTCTAAGGGAAACGTTGTTTATAATTATCTCGTCTTTCCGCCGATGACGAAAGGTGCTCTCCCTGCTCAGCAGCGGCGGCGGGGGAATAGTGACTTTCCGAGGCAGAGATTCCCCAGCAAGCGCTCCGGGAGCTGCAGGGTTATTCTCGCTCTCGCTGGCGCACACACTGCTCCGCTGGGGCGCCGGGTCCCCCGCCCCCCCTCTTATGATGCGGCTTACTTGACTTGCCTGGCATCCAATCGGCTGCCAACCCTGTGGGTGTTGCTGCGAGGGGATTGGTTGGCAGGAGCGGGGCGCTGCGCAAAAACAGCGAAGCCGAGCGCTCCGAGCTCAGAAACTGGCAGCAGAGATCAGAGGAGCTGGAGCCGGGACAGGAGGAGGAGGAGGGCAGCGGCGGCGGCAGCGGCAGCGCTAGAGAGACAGGGGGAGAGGGAGAAGCCCGCGAGAGAGGAGGAAAAAACAAAACCAACCCCCCAAACTGAGCAGCACCCCCAGACAAGAGCAAAACGCAGCTGCTGGGAGCCATGGCAGTGGCAGAAGAAGCGGCGAGAAGCCCCTAAATGCAGGCAAGAGAAGCAAAAAAAAAAAAAAAAAAAAAGACATCCTAATAAAGGAAGAAACCCCAGAGCAATTCAGGGAAGGAAAGTTTTGGGTGCCGCTGTCACCCTAGATCTCCCGCTGCCTACGCGCTCCCTCCTTTTCGA